CCCCCCCCGGTGCCACCTCTCCCAGCCCGCGGCCGTGCCACCCTGCCTGCAGCCTGCGCCGAGCCCGAAACCGTTAAACTAATTAAAGCTTTGCAGCAGCGGGATTAAGGCCGGGCAGGGGAGGTGGCAGCCCAGGTAGTCGATTAGTTCACCAGGCGCGGATATTGGATTTCTGCGCGGCGAGTCAGCAGTCTTCGGGGGCTGTTATCTTTGCGAGGCTCCAGGGGTCAGGAGGTGGATGCAGGGGTGGCTGTGAGTCCCCCCCCCCTTGCTCTCTATCCCCCCCCTCCCCTTCGCCCGCCGCAGCGCCGCTCCCATCCATCTCTCTCCCTCCATCCCTCCTCTCTTGTGTGGTCTCGGATGGTGTTTTGTAACCAGCAAAAGGAAAAAAAAAAAAAAAAGGGGAAAAAAAAAAAAAAAAAAAAGAAGGAAAGCGGCCCTACCCCTGGCTAGCAACCCAGGAATGGCGAAGTCCAGAGCGCCTAATGCGAAACATGTGGCAGCTGCCTGGGGCTGAGCAGAGGAGGTGAAAGTGAGCGCGGCGGCGCGGCGAGCATCCCGACCCGGTGCTGCTGGGGGCTGCTGGGCGCTGCCCGGCCCCACGGCTCGGGGTGGGGGGCTGCAGGTGGGTTTGTGGGGTTGGGCACTTGCGTGGGGGGCACCGCTTCGTCACCGGCCGCGTGGCCCAGGGCAGGAGGGCAGCGCCGGGCGGTGCGGGGCTGACGGTGTGCGCGTCCTCGTGTGCCAGGGCGTGCCGGCGTGGGGAGGGCCCCGCGCCCCTATGGATCTGGGTACCGTACGGAGCCCTCGTCGGAACCCGGGGCGCAGAGCGGGGGATGTGGGGTGGGGACACGGGATGGGGACGTGGGACGGGGTCGCGGGACGCGGCTGTGCCCCGTTCTCCCCGTGGAGCCGTGCGCAGCGTGTGCGGCGAGGACCGGCTCCCAGCGGCTGTTCTGGAAAACCTCCTGTTTGCTTCCTTCCTGCCTGACTCCCCTCCAACAGCTCTCAGCTCCGGGCACATTAGCAGATTCATCAGAGACTCGACCGGTCTTTCTAGCACATATTTTCCTGCTCCACATTGCCCTCGGTGTAACTCTACACCCGGCAGCAACAGGGGCGCGTTTCTGCGGGGCTGCGCCCGGTGCCAGCGCCGCTGCGCCCGCGGGAGAGCGGGGAGATGGGAGGGGGCTGAGGACGGCCTGACAGGTTTGAATTCTCCTTCCCTGCCTTGTTGATAAGTTGTCACGCTAATCCAGACACCGGGAACAGCCTGGATCACGGCGAGCCGGGTGTGTGTGTGTGTGTGTGTGTGCGCGCTGGGGGGAGGGAGGGAACAGGCAGAGCTTCACGCAGGGCTGTGGCACACGGCTCCATGTGTCTGCACCCCTTGTGCCAACGGGGTCCCCGACCGCCGGCGTCATGGGAGCTGCAGGAACAGCACGGATCCGTGCAAATCCACGCACACACACACACACACAAGGAGATGTCCCACCCCGCACGGACAGACCCACAGTGCCGGGGGTCCGCGGGCGCTGCGGGGCCGATGGGCTGACACGTGGGGGTCTCTGTGCTTGCTCGGCAGATGGGAGCTCGGTCGCCTGCCAGCCCGGCGCACTGGAGAACGGTGCCAGCCCGCCTGCAGAGTGGTTCCCACGTGCCCAGGGCCCCCGCCAGCCCAGCAGCGACGGCGACGGCCCCGAACGCGGCTTCCGAGTGAACCTGCACTGCAAACACCCGCGGCCCAGGTAGCCCGGGGGGGGAGGGAGGGGGGGGTCCTCGGCCCGGGGTGGGGAGCAGAGGGTGCAGAGGGGTTGGGGGGGCAACGAACCGCAGCGCTTTGCTTTGCTTCAGTGGGAGGGGGGCGAAGCGTCGCTCAGTGGATCCCTCGGCTTGGGGGAGGGGGTGGTGGGAGGGGGGTAGGGGTGCTGGGTGCCCCTTCCCACTGTTGGGTGCCGGAGCCGTGTGTCCTCGTGTGGAGCTCAGAGGTGTCCCCGCGGTGCCACCCACTCGCAGCAAAGGGAAACTGAGGTGGGGGTGGCGGGGGGACGCTGTGGCTGCTGTCACCTCATGTGCTGCCCCACTGCAGCTGGCTTAGGGTAGCAGCTGTGCGTGGGGTGGCCCCGGGGGGGGAAGGGAAGGAAGCGGGGAGGGGTACGGAGTGGGGGGCCGGGGGGGGCAGCACGCAGTGGCGCTGGGCCGGGGTTGCCAAGGAGCTGAGCTCACTCTTTCCAGCCTCGAC